GAAACTAAATAAACCTCTAATAATAGGATGTATGGTACATGTTCTAACTCCTTTCCTAAGGGCAATAGGCAGGTTAAGATTAGAAGAATTATCAAAAGATAGATCTAGAGAAGAAGTACCTAGAGTATGTTGAGGAGGACCAGCTTGTGTAGGTGATGATGATTGGCCTTGCTCTGGATTTGAAGGAGCTCTATTCTTTGATGATCTCTTCTTCTGGTATAAATACGGAGCTCAGATGAGGGAATATTTGATAGTACTTTCCCTGTTTGTGAATCAGGAATGCCTTGTATAGGTAGACTAGGATTGCCATTATTTTCACCGGTTAAGGTATTGGTTTCCAGACCCTTTAAAGAATCGATGTCAATGTCAAGGAAAATATTGGGAAGAGGCTTTCAGTTTTCCAGATCTCATCTTCATTTTCCAGTTTCTCCGCCTAAAAAGGGCTGATTTTCAATAAAACATCCATACTGATGTGAATTTTTCTGGTTAGAGGAAACATTTGTACCCTTTTTATTAGGAGCATAGCCAAGGAAACCACATTTTTCTGCCCTAGGATTGAGCTTGGATCGAAGATGGGTCGGTATATGAACAAAAACAGTGCATCCAAACACCTTTAGTTGCAACTTATATGTTATCCGACAAGTAGGAAACAATTTTTTTTAGGCAATCTAAAGGAGTAATGTATTTTAAAACTCGAGTAGGAATCCTTTTAATGAGATAACATGCAGTTAAAATAGCATCACCCCATAAATATTTAGGAACGTGTATTGAAAACATTAGGGCCCGTGCAACCTCTAACAAGTGACGATTTTTCCTCTCAGCAATGTCATTTTGTTGTGGGGTGTCACGACAAGTAGACTGATGTTGAATACCCTTTGTTGAGAGAGAGGTTCCTAAGCATTTGTTAAAATATTCAGTACCATTATCGGTTCTAAGGATACTGATTTTTGTTTGTGTTATAGATTATATTATAGAATAGGAAATATATATTTGATTATAAGTTATAGGAATTTAACATAATT